AACTACAACTAAAACCACAACAAACTACACCTACAACAACCACTACACCCACCACCACAACAACCACACCGACAACAACTACAACCAAAACCACAACAACCACACCAACAACAACCACTACACCCACAACTACAACAACCACACCAACAACCACAACTACTAAGACAACAACAACAACGCCTACAACCACAACTACAACACCCACCACTACCACAACCACGCCTACAACCACAACAACTAAAACTACAACAACAACACCAAACAACCACAACTACTACACCAACAACCACAACAACCACCACCACCACAACAACTCCCATTACAACCCCTCCACCATCACGTAAGTAAAAGTTTTTCTTAATACATGTCTATTTTTAAAAAAAAAATCTAATGTTTACTTATTATTTCCTGACACTGACAACAAAAATTGCCAAATGGACGTAGACCAAATTGGCCATAAGGCATTCTCGCTAATCAACAGTGTGGGACTATTCTTTTAATTGCTAGCAAACCGATTCTTAAAATTAACAAATTAGAATGTGTAATTGAATTATGGATTACAAAATCAATCTTCAAATTACACCTAAAGGTACATATTGCACTTTTTAAAGCTATTTGTCATAGTTACGAAACGTGTGATTAGAAGATTGGAATTCATTGCTACTGATAACCCTTAAACATAACCCTTACTCTATAACTGATGCTAAAACTTGACCATAAGGATAAGACGGCTAGTGAAAAGTAACCTAAAACGCCATTGTGTTGTGAACTAGTAGTTTAAATCTAAAATTCTTTACGATCTGACATTTACTAAAAATGAATACAAACCAGTTGACATATAAAGTACTAAAATAAAACAAACATCACCAGGTAAGTATTATGGTAACAAAGTGATTTGTCTCATACATTACATATAAATTGATTCTAAAGCACTAACCTTATTCTAAGATAATTACCATAATTTATTCGTGTAAATAGTTCTAAATTTTGACATAACTAAACAACTATTCGTGTTCACAACTAAACAACAGTTTTGTCAGCTTCAACGACTATTTACAATTTGACAACATTCAAACACAATGTTAGTTTCATCAACAATTTTCGCAATTTATTAACCGTTTTGTTTTTCATTAATGATTTTCACAATTTATTTTAAATTGTGTCATAAAAATTATGTAACAGGAAGTAAGTTTCATCAACTATCTTCACATTTTAAACCACACTGTCACACTTTATAAACTATTTTCACAGTTACATGACAGTGTGTCATCGAAATTATTTAGCAGAATGCCAGTTTTTAAAAGTATTTTAACAATTATATGACAAATTGTAAGTGGTAGCAATTGTTAACACAATTAATTATGACAGTGTGTAGGTAGCATCAACTATTTTCACGATTATATGACAATATACGATGAAAATAATTTAACAGACTGTCAGTTTTATAAACTATTTTCACAATTATATGACAATGTGTGAGTAATATCAAATATTTTACAATTTTGTGACAGTGAGTAATTTTCACTTGTAAGTTTAATCAACTATTTCTACACTGATATGACAGAGTACACGATTCAGCAACTATTTTCGCAATTATATAACTGTGTGAAAAAAAAGCATCGGCTATTTTCACAATTTAACAACGTAACAGTTTTTTTTACATATTTTCACAATTTTAGGACAGTGTGTACATAACACCAACTATTTTCACAAAAGTATAATCAGATATTTCCACACTTATATGACAGTGTGCGCGATGCATCAACTATTTTCACAATTATATGACAGTGCACTATTTTCACAATTTAACAACGTGTCAGTTTTATCAACTATTCTCACAATTCTATGACAGTGCACTATTTTCACAATTTAACGAGTCAGTTTTATCCACTATTCTCACAATTCTATGCCAGTATGCCAGGTCTCCGCGAGAATCTTGAACGGCGCCCGCGTCGTCGATCAGTGCGCTTTTGCCGGCATCGCCAACATCACCGCAAACAACGGCAACAACATTGTCTGCAACGCCATCTTCACTAGAGCCACCGTCAACGGCACCTACAAGTCGACGTTCCTCACCTCAGCCACCTGTAAAAAAGTCATCGAAGCAGGGTCAAAAGCTGGCGTTGTGTAAGAAGCAAATAGCATACGGTCGACTTCATATATATATATATATATATATATATATATATATATATATATATATATATATATATATATATATATATATATATATATATTATATATATATATATATATATATATATATATATATATATATATATATATATATATATATATATATATATATTTGTTATATACCTGAAGAGATTTTTCTATTCTTTTGAACATATACATTACTTATGATTTTGTTTTTCCTTTAATAGTTTTAGCTTACAATTGGGAACACAGATTGTGCCTATTTTGGCGGGTTTGATTAATATGTACGACGGTAAGTACGAGTAACGGTAAGCATTCATTCTGTCGAAACCTCAGCTTCGCTGAAAATACTTTGTCACTATAAATATAGTAGCACTTTTCGATATTTAAGCAACTTTTAACATTAGGATTTTAGTCCCTTTAGACACTTTCCTACTTTATTTTGGAATCGCTTTAGCCACCTAAAACACTTAGCCACAAAAATAAAAAAAAACAACTAGCTAGAGTAATCATTTTAATTAAGCAACTCATCATAGCAATATAAAACTATAGCACTGTCATCACATATAGCTATAGGCACCTTTCAATTGGTCACTTTCAACACAAGTAGTAAAATACACTTTTCAACTATTCAGTTTCAGAGGCGTAGGTAGGCGAGAGCGGGTGGGGCGGCCGCCCCGGGCGCCAACCTTAAAGGGGGCACAAAACAGGGTAGAAATTAAAATTAAAAGCTAATTCAGCTGCTTTATTTAAATAACACAGTGTCTTACTTAGCTTTGCAGACTAATTAAACTGTTTTCTACATACATTTTGTGCGCTAAAGCAACAACAGTTAAAGCACGTTAACTGGTAAAAAGAACCCCCAACCTTGATTAGCTATATATAAATAGTGGGGGGGGGGGGGGGCGCAAAATCAATAGTTCCCTCCGGGCGCCGGAAAGGGTGTCTATGTACCTGTTGAGTTTAAATACACGTAGCTGTACTACACGTGTCTTGTCAAGTGTCACTTTTAACACACGTAGCTATGTACATTTTTCAACTGGTTATCCTTGTACTTGGCTCCAGGCCCTAATGACGTGGCGTTCTTGGACATCTCTGACTTCTACAAGAACCTGGTAACTGGTCAGTCCTCCTGTGTGGCCCGGGGGGCGTGTCCATACACCCCGGCCATAGCACCAAAGGTCAGCCTTAGCGACTGCAAGATCGTCAGCTATGGTGCCAACAACGCATGTAGGTCAACATATAAATAGAATCTATATTTAGCACGATAAGTATTCAATCAAATACACATAGCACGATAAATATTCCATTAAATACAGCCAGCACGATATATATTCAATCAAATGCATACAAAAAGATAAATATTCCATTATTAAATACGTACAACACGATACACACTCAATCAAATACATACAACACGATAAATATCCCTGTAAACACACGTCGCGCTTGAATTATTTCATAAAATACGGTTAGCACGATTATTATTTCATTAAATACACTATTCACTGTACATTCAAATATTTAATACGTAATTCTATTTTTATACAAATTCCTATTGATGGGAAACTTGTTTTATAAATGTCAAGATTATACATTAGTTTTAGTATTGTATATACAATTCTAAACAGCAGATTATTTTAATAAAAGTTCAATATGAATTTCTATAGCATCATCACGATACAAGTTTAGCTACAATAAGGCTGCTGTTTCTTTAACATAACCTGACACATTGAATGTTATTTTCAGCCTCAACATTGAGATCAGATAGCTTGTATGAGACGTCAGTCGCGTTTAATTTTATTGGTTGTTCAACTGTCGCCAAAAGTTCCGCTACAGTCACTGACTATTGTTTCAGGACTATAAGCGGCCAAAATCTGTTCTGTAACGTAAGTTATCAGGTTTTTTAAACCAATTTATTACTCTTTATACTAGGATATCGAACAAAATCTGTTCTGTAACGTAAGTATATCAGGTTTTATAAACCAATTTATTACTCTTTATGCTAGGATTTCGAACAAAATCTGTTCTGTAACGTAAGTATGTCAGGTTTTTTAAAACCAATTTATTACTCTTTATGCTAGGATATCGAACAAAACCTGTTCTGTAACGTAAGTTTATCAGGTTTTATAAACCAATTTATTATTCTTTATGCTAGGATAGCGAACACAATCTGTTCTGTAACGTAAGTTTATCAGGTTTTATAAACCAATTTATTACTCTTTATGCTAGGATATCAAACAAAATATGTTCTGCAACTTACGTTTATCAGGTTTTATAAACCTATTTATTATTTTTTATGCCAGGATTGCGAACAAAATCTGTTCTGTAACGTAATGGTATCATGTTTAAAAACCACTTTATTATACTTTGTACTAGCAATTTGAACAAAATCTGTTCTGTAACTGTATGACTCTTTGAAGGAGTGGCCTAGCGGTAGAGAGCTAGACTGCTAACCTGTAAGTCTCGAGCAGAGGCGTAGCGACCCCTCCCGGCGCCCGGGGACAAACTTTCGATTTGCACCCCCCCTCGAACTTTTCATTTGCACCCCCCCCTCAAACTTTCAATTTGGCGCCCCCCTAAGGTCGGCGCCCGGGGACATTTGTCCCCCCCCCCCCCCCCCCCCCCGCCCCCCCCCTCGCTACGCCTCTGGTCTCGAGTTAACCGGTTGAATTACAATCCCGTCCAACAATACAATAAGGAACGAAGACGAAGATGTAAATTAAGCACGTTTTTCAGGGTGACGCCGGCGCCCCAGTATTCTGCCGGGCGCCATCCAACAACGAGTGGATCCTGTTTGGTGTAACGACACTGGGACCATCATGCAACACGTCACCTGAGTTCCGTGTTCTACCCTACCCCGGATAAAGAGAACGGACAACTCAAAGGGATACAACTACAGATATATTTACGTTAACTAAAACATATCTAGTTTTGTAATAATATGCAACAAAAATTACTTCCCTGTTCTATGTGGTTTTTAATTTTGCTATTACATTTTCCTAGAACAACATTTCTGAATTTTAAAATTGTAAAATTCGCTTTAATTTAATTTGTGTGGAACTAATCATTTTAAATTAATTGTTATCCATGTAATTATATCAGGATAACGAGTTTATTTTTCAAAATATAAGATCTTAAAATGTCAATCTTACTTCAACTCGGTGAATTTATATCTGCTACATATAATTTTTTTTGGTATTACTCAAGCTTTATTTATTTTCTCATTGATTTAATTAAAATTACCTAATTTTAAATAGACAAAAATAGTTACTTATCCAATAATTAGGTGTACTGTAGGCTATTGCTTTATAGATGTACAAACGCTTAGAGATTTTAAGAAAAGGCTGATAATAAAGTTTTTAAACTGCTTTGTTACAAAAACAAACAAAAAAAGACTATTAAGACTAATTAGTAGAACTAACGATGTGTTCAGTATATTTTGATATCACAACAATAAAAATGGAGCTATAAAATAAATGTATGAAGTGGCTTTCAGAATTGTTGACTTTCCTTTTGTTTTGTTTGATCACTTGTATCATTATATAAAAATAACTCACACAAACCAGCTCATTCCTAAACACATTTTTGCAAAGTGTGATTCTTTTATTTAAAAAAAAACACACAGACAATTAAATGCCTTACTGTTGCTTGCAATTAATATAGTCGTCTTTGTATTCAAACAATGCCACATTTTTAAACAATGTAAACCCAATTTCTCCTGTTAATTTGTGTTTTATTAACATTTCATAAGAAGTTGTACATGAATCATATCTGATTGAAAAAAAGCAACACATCTGTATGTACAAGTTAACTTAATGAAAGATTACTGAATACAATTTTAAAAAGTTAAGTAGGTCTAACTAAATTTTAATAATACGTATTTTAAAACACAATTTTAATGGCGCCATTTAAATAATTGACTTATGATTGTTTATAAAACTCAGGTATTGTCTTACTCATTTAATATTTATTTTATATTATAAAATATCTAATAGTTTAAATTTACTGAAGAAAACATATTTATAAATTAGTAGAGAAAATAGACACTGTCGGATATTTCTGTCTGATTAATAATACAGGAAAACACAACGTATATCACAATACAAAAGACTCGACAATAGTAATAAATATTATTAATATTATTTCATGATTACTCCGATTACAGATTTAAAAATGTTTAAGGGAAGCAACTACAATAAAATGTGCATAATGAGCAATGTAAATCGTTTGAAAATAATGTATCAACAAAATAAAAATAAAAAAAAAACGCAATTTTACAAAACATTAATAGACATATTATTATAATTTATGGAAATATCAAAAAGCGTTGATTTTACTTATTAATGTATTATATTAATAATGAAATTGCACGTATGGAAAGCAGTACTGTTATTATTACTGAATTCCAAGACTTTCGAAATATATCATTAAATAGATTTTATAATAGATTGTACTTAACCAATTAAAAACAGCTTTATTTTCGACTATTTTTCCAAACGTTATAGGGCTGGTGAGTAGGTCACCTACCAGTTATATGGCTCAATAAAGCCAGCATGAACTGGTTGGTGACCCACTTACCAGCCCTATACTCTTCAACGACTTTTGTTGGCAAACATGTTCCAAACCAGCCTCTGTCCGATAAAAAAAAAAAGAAAAAAAAAGGAATATTGATACAAAATAAAAAAAAATGTAATACAAGAGATAGAAAATACAAAAATACTTAACTCCACGATACACAACATGTCCTCTCGTTGTCCACATTCTCTAGCACACGGTCTGTCATCGTCAACTGACAATCCTCGCTGGAACACCTCTGGTTGTATGTGAACACACGTAACCAAGGGCAATACCTATCTACAAGCAGAGGGTACCTGTCATTTGACCATACAACACACGTAACCAAGGGCAATACCTATCTACAAGCAGAGGGTACCTGTCATTTGACCATACAACACACGTAACCAAGGGCAATACCTATCTACAAGCAGAGGGTACCTGTCATTTGACCATACAACACACGTAACCAAGGGCAACACCTATCTACAAGCAGAGGGTACCTGTCGTTTGACCATACAACACACGCAACCAAGGGCTACAGCTATCTACAAGCAGAGGGTACCTGTCATTTGACCATACAACACACGTAACCAAGGGCTACAGCTATCTACAAGCAGAGGGTACCTGTCATTTGACCATACAACACACGTAACCAAGGGCTACAGCTATCTACAAGCAGAGGGTACCTGTCATTTGACCATACAACACACGTAACCAAGGGCTACACCTATCTACCAGCAGAGGGTACCTGTCATTTGACCATACAACACACGTAACCAAGGGCTACACCTATCTACAAGCAGAGGGTACCTGACATTTGACCATTCAACACACGTAATCAAGGGAAGCTATTTGTCAGGCACGTAGCAACCACACAAGATTATGAACTTGGTCCTTCAATATCTACACAGGTATATGGTGTACCAGCTGAGAGCTCACCAATCCCACATTAGGTTAGGTTAGGTTAGGTTAGGTTAGGTTAGGTTAGGTTAGGTTAGGTTAGGTTAGGTTAGGTTAGGTTAGGTTAGGTTAGGTTAGGTTAGGTTAGGTTAGGTTAGGTTAGGTTAGGTTAGGTTAGGTTAGGTTGGGTTGGGTTAGGTTAGGTTAGGTTAGGTTAGGTTAGGTTAGGTTAGGTTACGTTAGGTTAGGTAAGGTAAGGTTAGGTTAGGTTAGGTTAGGTTAGGTTAGGTTAGCCTGTCGCCCCTCCTGGGACTTAAGCCGCTGACAAGAGCTTTCAAGGCGTCTCTGTCCTGGGCTAGTCTCTCCAACTGTCCACGGTGTATCCAATCTTCTTGGTGTCTTCTTCCAGGTCACGTCTCCAGGTCTTTCTTGGTCTGCCTCTCCTCCGCCTGCCCTGTGTATTTTTCAGGACATATTGGCTTTCACCAGTCGGCTTCATTAATTCTCCATTGGGAGATCCATTCTTCCCCTGGTCCGAGCTGTCTGTATTTCTCTTCACATTAATATGTCATTAATTAGATCATCACACAAGTGTGTGAGTTATGACATTTGACAACCTCACATTAACTCTACAAGCAATTTTGATTACACTATATTAGGACTCCTCCTTGCTGTCCACAGTCACCAAATGTTGACAAATAGTTCGCCATTGTAAACAGGCTGATCGAATGATTGTTTGAGATTAATCCAGTGGTTATCTTTCCTTTTGTTACTAAACTTAGAAATAAAAAAAAAAAACTAATCATCTTATTAGATTCATTAATAAATATCTTTGTACTGCCATCGAAGAAGAACGTATCTGGAAATTTTGAACGAAATTGCTGCATTAGAGGTGTATTAAAATTGAGTTACAAGATTAGCCACAACTTACAAACAAACAAACAAGCAGACAGTGTAAAGTAAATAAAAGCTTAAAAAATACAGTGTTCAAAACGTAATCTTCAATCACATTCAATTAATTCACATCAACAAAAGAAAGGCCTGTTGAATTAGATACTTATTTTATTTAACGTTAATACAAATTCAAACTCCGTGATAATACAACTGGCATTTAGCCATATATTTATGAGGATGAGGTACCTTTTATAAGCCAAGCGTGTGGGTACACTAACAAATGAAATTGTTTGGTAGTTTTACAACAAAAAAATATTTGCTAAAGTAATGGAATAGATTTAACTATTGGTCTACGAGTTTAGTCATTGATTAGTGTTTGAATTATGTTTAAAGTTTATTTATCATTGACCGTTTTATTTAGTGTTTGGTTTGATATATTTTTTATCATTTTATAGATTGAGACATAAATTTTGTAGGTTTGGTCACTGTACAGTAAAAATAATATTGTCTCTGTGTTTTTTAATGTATTGTTTTTTCTCATGCATTTTGGAAAGTGCGATGTGTCTAACAATGTAGTTTATTGCTTTGTGTCTGTTTAAGGTTTGTAACTTTGTGCTTCAGTCGATGTAGCAATGCGTAGTTATTATGTCAATAAATTGTTTGATTAGGTCTTTATCATCATTGTTGAAGAGGTAGCAGTCATTCGTTTAGTTGATATTTAAGTTGTTGTCAATGTTTTATTACCTGAGGAATGATCAAAAGACTGCGTTGGTATTGGAAGCTATTCTGTCCAGTGGCGTAGGCAGGGGGGGTTTAGGGGGGGGTCATAATCCCCCCCAATAGACCCCTCGGTATATATAAAAATTATAAGGGGGGGGGGTGTGCAAATCGAACGTTTTAGGGGGGGGGATGCAAATCGAAAGTTTGAGGGGGAGGGGGGGGGGTGCAAATCGAAAGTTTGTCCCCGGGTAAAAATTGGAACCCCCACTTGAGACGATTCTGGCTACGCCACTGATTCTGTCGTTGTGTTAGTTATAGCTGGTGATATATTTTTTAAGGAAGGGTTGCTATTTATTTTAGATATTGCAGTCGGTTATGTTTTAAGAGTTGATGTTTGTTTTACGGTTGTGGAAGAAGGGTTTATATTTACTGCTAAGAATGTGGTTGCGGATGTGGGAATACTACACGTTGGCTGTCTGAAAGGAGAAGAACGTTTAATGTTTGATGTTGATGTGGTTAAGATTGTAGGTTTAATACATTATATTACGAATTGTGTAGTGGTGGTATAAGGTTTACTTGATGCTGTATTTAAGTTGTTGAGGGTGATTTAGAGTTGACAGTCGTTGTTTACACTTTGATGGTGGAAGAAGTAATTTTAGCTGTAGTTGTAGTTGTAGGTTTGGATGTTGTTGGTTGTATGAAGGTGGTAGAGGGTGTAATATTGATTGTTGATGTTGGGGTTACTTCAAAAGGTTTGATGGTTGATGTCTGGTGGAGGATGGTTTAATTGCTGCGATTGTGGTTAGGTTGAAATCTGTTGATTGAGAGGTTGTAGTAGACTGGTTAATTTTTGCTGTGGTAGATGAGGTTGTTGATGTTGTAGGTTTAAAAGTTGTTACTTGTGTTGTAGAATTTATAGATGGTGTAGAGGGTAAGAATGTGGTTGAAGTTTTAGTTCTGTATGTTGATGTTGTAAGGTTTACATTTGTAGTTGATGTTGTAACGGTATTCCAATGTGTATTATTTGATAAGGATATTGTTGTTGGTGTTGTAAGTTTGACATTGGACGCTGATGCTGTAATGGTAGACACATGTGTATTATTTAATGCAGATGCTGTGGTTGGTGTTGTAAGTTTGATAGTTGTTGGAGATACGATGGTTGTAGGTTTCATATTTGATGAGGATGATGCTGTTGCTGTTGTAGGTTTGTTTGTTGTTATTGAATTGAAGGTTGTTGTTAGCGGTTTAGATGATGGTGAAGATGTTGTGACTGGAATTGCAGGCTTGGTAGTGACTGTAAGAGATGGCGTTGAAGACCTGAGAGATGATGATGTAGATGTCGTGGATGTTGTTGGATATTGGTTTGTTGTAGTTTTTGGATTGTTAGTTGAGGTAAAAGGTTTAAATGTTGTTGGTGTTCTGACAGTGGTTGATGTTGTTGTTGGCGTGCTGGTAGATGTTGAAGGTTTGAGAGTTGTTGACGTTTTTATGGTTGCTGATGTTGTTTTAGGTTTGTAAGTTGTAGTTATTTGTTTGATAGTTGTGGCTAAGGGTTTAAATGTAGACGATGAAGGTGTGGATTTGTATGGTGTGGTAAACGGTTTCACTGTTGAAGTTGCAGGTTTTATTGTTGTTGGTTTGTTGGCTGTTGTAAGTTTTTTAGTTGTGGTTGGAAGTTTGAAAGTTGTAGCTGAAGGTTTGGTTGAAGTTTTAGCAGGGTTGGGAGTTGTAGTGGACTGTTTAAAAGATATTGTAGGACTTTTCGTAATTGTGGTTAGTATAGACTTTGCTGTTGTTAAGGTTTTGGTAGACACTGAAGCAGCTTTAGGTGTCGTTGTTGTTGTGAGTTTGTAGGGTGCTGTATTAGGTTTGTTTGTTGTAGATTTGGTAGTGCTTATGGTAGATTTTAAAGTTGTTAAGAATGTTGGTGTGGATGTCGGTTTAATGGTTGTTGTAGATTTGGTAGTTGATACAATCTTAATAGTTGCAGGTGTTGTAGTTGCTGTTAATTTATTTGAGGATGTTGAAGCTTTCATAGTTGTAGGTCTAATAGTTTCAGTTGTAGGTTTGGTAGAAGGCTTTAGCGTTGTGTTTAATCGGTTAACAGGTGATATTCTTTGTGTAGTTTTGGTAGATGTGGTTACTGTATATTTCACTGGAGTTGTAAAAGGTTTAGCTGTTGTAAATTTAGCTGTAGAAATTGGAGATTTTGCTGTAGATTTGACAGCTAAGGTAGATAGCTTGACTGTTGTATTCATAATTATAGATTTTCTAGTCGTTGTCGTAGATCTGAGTGATTCAGAGGTAGTTGTTACTATAGGTTTCGTTGTGGATGAGGTAGATACGACTTGAGGTATCCTAGTCGTGTTTGTAATACGCTGTAAGTTCGCTGATGTTGGTGGAGTGACGGGCCTTGTAAGCTTTTTTACTGAAAGTGTTGTATTTGAACGCTGAAATGTGGGAACCTGAGTTGTCAACCCATTCGCAGTATTCACAGATGTAGAACTACTCGATGAAATAGATTTTGACGACGAGGTACTTATTGGTGGTGTTGTGGCTAGTTTTAGTACAGTTTTTGAAGGTAAGGTTGTTGTTGCCGGTGATGTAGATTGAGTAGCTCCACAGCTAATGTCTGGGTTACAGCGACATTCAACTGTACCATCAGGCAGCACTGATGAAACAAAACATTAAATGTATTTATGTTAAGTTTTTTTTATTACATCTATATGGTGGTTAAAATAAAATACGTTGTCATTCCAGACCACCCATTAGGGAGATGAAGTATATTTGTTTCTCTCAGCACAGTTGTCAGTAATTAAGCTCAGGTGCAGGGCGTAGCGAGGGTGGGGGGGCAGGGGGTGCGGACCGCACCGGGTGACACCATTTAGGGGGAGGGGTGACACCAAGGAAAAAATAGCAAAATATACAGAGAAAAACTTGAGGTGTGCAAATCGAAAGTTTGAAGGGGGGGTGCAAATCGAAAGTTTGGGGGGGGGGGGTGCAAATCGAAAGTTTGCCTCTGGGGGGTGACACCATTAAGTGCCGCACCGGGTGACACCCGACCTCGCTACGCCACTGCTCAGATGCATTTACTTTTCTTGGATAAACTCGGTAACCATAAAAGCTACGTGGACTTATTGATACCATGTAGAAAAACTTGAGACTTTTGCGATATTATAGTGTACTTTACCACGCTACTTCATCATCCCAACTTGCTGGCGGGAGCCAACATTATCAAGTTTCTATTTTTAAAACCTATACGTTTGGTTTACATATATAGTTTACATAAATAGGATCTAACTTGACGTAAATTATCGTAAACAGTTATACTTGTGAACATCATCCATCCACCATCTTGCCTCCCTGCCCCATCTTTACTCGTAACGACCCTCTTAACATTATACACTGCTAAATTTGTTTAGGGAAAATAATTACAAAATAGAAAGTATAGTTTTGTTTTAGTAAAGATTTATGGTATAATATTAATATTTTTTTCAAAAAGATAGTCTTCAAGCTTTTAATAACACAAACTACACTTGCCCTAAGAAAATTATTAAACTCTCCCACTGAAAATATTCAACTAGCGCCAGTCAGGTATCGACTGTTAATTTACCTGATTCACAGCATCCATTTCTGGAACTTGCAAGGAAGCAACAGTCTCTAGTGGTGCGAGTTGTGTAGGAACTTCTCAGTTGTTCAAAGATCGCAGATTTTATCAGGCTTCTGTATTAGACACACAATGTTAACTACACAGATTTTATCAGGCTTCTATTAGACACACAATGTTAACTACACAGATTTTATCAGGCTTCTGTATTAGACACACAATGTTAACTACACATATTTTATCAGGCTTCTGTATTAGACACACAATGTTAACTAGACAGATTTGATCAAGCTTCTGTATTAGACACACAATTTTAACTACACAGATTTTATCAAACTTTGATCAAGCTTCTGTATTAGACACACAATGTTAACTTCACAGATTTTATCAAGCTTCTGTATTAGACACACAATGTTAACTACAAAGATTTTGATCAAACTTTGATCAAGCTTCTATATTAGACACACATTCATGCGTTAACTACATATTAGGTTAACTACACAGATTTTATCAAGCTTTTATTGTATCATCGTATTAAACCGGTTTTGAAATAAAATTTTAGATTTTGAATATTGATTATACTGTCGACTGATTTTTTTCAATTTTCGAATTCAGATCTTATGTACAGTATTATTTATATGTGATGAAAACTCGAAGTAGAAAAATTGATTATAAAAAGTCGTTTAGGTTAAGCTTAGTCTTTCCAAAGTTATGATAAATTTAAGTTTAATAAAATAATGGGTACCTCCTTCATTAGGTCAAAATACACTGATAGCATTTAAATAGATGGTATAGCCGTCCATCCATAGGTATAGAATAAAAAAGTAAATAGAGTTGATGAAAAATTTACTTTGAATCACAACACAGTGAACTGTAGAAGTAGGTTTGTCCGTCTGTACCGATGTAGGTATCGTTGGCTGAATAGACAACATGGCTGGTCAAGATGACAGTCAAAAGAAATGTGTAGAGGGGAATAACTTTTAGTCCCATCACTTATGTCGGTGCTGTAGAGTTGCTGGTAATGACGTTTATACAGCCATATATGTAACAAACATATATATGTATATATACAATTATAATATATATATATATATATATATATATATATATATATATATATATATATATATATATATATATATATACATTGATATATATATATATATGAATATACATATATATATATAGATATATAGGCCTATATATATATATATATATGTATATATATATATATATATATATATATATATATATATATATATAAACAAATATATATATATATATGTATATATATATATATATATATATATATATATATATATATATATATATATTATTTATATATATATATATATATATATATATATACATATATATATATATATATAGGCCTATATATATATATATGAATATACATATATATATATATATAGATATATAGGCCTATATATATATATATATATATATATATATATATATATATATATATATATATATATGAATATACATATATATATAGATATATAGGCCTATATACATATATATATATATATATATATTGATATAGATATATAGATATATTGATATAGAAATATATAGATATAGATATATATATATAGAAATATATATATTATATAGAAATATGTATCATTTATAATTGCACATATATAATATATGTGTGTATGTGTGTATATGTTCGTTAGTATATGTGAATGAATGTACGTGTGTACATACTCCTATATGTGTGGATGTATTTTACTTCATAAAATAAAAGCCTGCTCATTAAACTCCAAAGATAAAAAATCCAGCACTTACTGTTTTCCCACTTCAGCTTGAGATCTACACACAAGAAACTAGTGACACGTTACTCCCAAATCACTTTTCACCATTGAATTATCTCAACTGATTTAATCGTGTATAAATACTTGCAGAAATACCTTTCGTTCGTGCGAATTAGAATTTGAATAGGATGAGAGATATGTCTGCAAACAAGCCATCCTTTTAATCTTCATAATTGCGTCAACGTTCTAAATATGAAGTAAATATATGTTCAGGAGTATCCTTTTTTCAATATTCGTATTTTATTTGATTAGATAAATCATATTTAAATGCAATTATAACTTAGTTATTATTTATCGACAAAATAGATTTAATGTTTTTATTTTGCAATTACATTTAATCCAACATTAACGTTTGTTCGTTCTCTAGTCTTAACCTTAACTCTAGCTCTGACCTTTACTCTAGTTTTAACTACACACGTCACCCTATCCCCGACCCTCACCCTAGCACTCCCCCCCCCCCCCCCCTTAACTTTAATCATTTCCCTCTAACATAATTTAAACACTGCATCGATACCAGAGGCGTAGCGACCCCCCCCCCGGCGCCCGGGGACAAACTTTCGATTTGGCGCCCCCCCCCTATATTTTTTATTTTTATAATTCAAAATAGCAGCTAAAATGAGCTTATTTTGGCGCCCCTAGGGTCGGCACCCGGGGACATATGTACCCCCCTGCCTCCCGGTCGCTACGCCTCTGATCGATACAGACATACAAGAAAATGTCTGACCCGACACTATATTACCTGGGGTTGTATTAGTACCCTCTAACCTACTCCTCTCTACGTAAGTTGAAGGCATCTGTGTACTCAGGAACTGCGTGTCAATGTAAAGGCCATTCAAAGGGTCCCTGACTACCATTATTACCATACGTCTCGTATTTGCTGAAACGCCCTGTGGTTCAACCTTCCGTTTGAGATATTTCACAATTATTTATATGGGTTATCCATGAACGATATATTTGAGATATTACACCATTATTTATATGGGTTGTCCATAAACGATACATTTGAAATATTCCACCATTATTTATATGGTTTGACCATAAACGATACATTTGAGATATTACACCATTATTTATATGGGTTGTCCATAAACGATAATAAAGAAATTTTAACCGTATTTTTAACCAAAATTCTAGAAAAAAAAACAACGTCGAATCACCCCCCGTAAAATAACCAAATAAAAATTGAACTCCAACTATTATGTTTTATTAATTTTATTTGTAATTTATAATCTAATAAAAACAAACTATTTTGTACGGCACATTCCTGTGAACTTCCCCGACCTGTGTTTCTTTCAGACATTTTATTCCGGAGGGGGAGGGGGACTTGAAATATTGGGGGGGGGGGCGGTGGTGGACTTAATTCTCCGAGGGGGGAGATGACGGAAACATGAGGAAAATAATAAAAAGTATATATTTTTAAATAAACCTATTTCGTTGGTGTGTGGGTGGGGGGTGGGGGGTGGGGGGGGGGGGTGCACGGCGGTGGCAGTGCCTCCAACCTCTGAGAGATGCTTAAAAGAAACTCTATCCCGGACCCCTATCCTACTACCCTAACCACCCACATTTCGACCAATCGTAACCTCATTGTCCTTTATTCGACTTAGTTCCTTGACGTCGGTTTTGGGCTATATCACAAGCGTGTAAACTTCAAACCGCTACATTGATAAAAAATACATTATGATACATGAACAGATTTTATTTAATATAAGTTTGCACTAAACGATGGCCTTGAGCACACAAGTGTAGAAACATACGATGAAAAGGTTTATACGTCAAACACATAACGAGGATCGTGTCTTATTTACATAGAATATTGACAATGCTTTGAGCTCTAGAGACGAGTTTCAATACACAAAAAGGTAGGAAACTTTATGTGAGAAACACGAAGAGTAGCTGGTTTATCTTTTATTGTACTGTGCAACGATACACATTGGCAAAGATGATGTAGGTTTTATCGGGCAAGGTTCAGCTGCTTTTGTATGTGGTGTTTACTAGATTACATAAAATACAGACTACACTACTATATCACGGTACACGTTTTAACCGTGTGTTATGACTTGGTTTGTTTTCATGTATCAGGTACATTTGTAAGGAATACCTACCAGCGTACACTAGTTGGTCTAAAGTATACGAGCCGACCCGCGGCGTATCATACCCCGCTGTTTAGTTGTTTTATTTTCTACTTTTCAGTAATTCATAATTTGTGAATTCGACAGTACCAATGCTGCCACTGAAAATATTTGCTTTACAACACTATCAGTAGGTCGTTAAAGACAATAACCCTCCCCCCACCCTCCTTTCCCCAAACGCCTACCTTACAACCCGCCCCCCATGAAAGCAGCTTCCTCTTAGTTACCTCCCCTAAGTTTAAAATTGTTTCAAACTAAATTATCTGCCCCTAATAGCCGTCACTAAACGGCTCTACGATCGTAAACATTTAGCGTGAACCACAGCTCACCAGACCATGTGGGGGTGGGGGTGGTAGGGATATGCCTAGAGAAGAAGAGAGGGGGCTGCTAGGCGCGCTTACAGCTTGGTAATTTCTATGGTCTCAATGAAGAGAATTATATAGATAGATAGCTGTAATACGGGAGCTTGTTATGTGTAATGGTTACATGTGTTCGTTTTCTTGTTATGTTTTTCTTGATATTATTAATGGAACTGGTTTGAAGGTGTGCCTATCCTTCACAATATCTGTACTGCGTGTGTTAGTTACTGTAGAACAATTACTGCTATCTTCTTTTTTTTAACAAAACCACTAGTTCAATCAATCTATCAAGGTGCACAATAATTTTTTTTTTGTCGAATTTTCCGTCCCCTAAACGGCCTGGACCCTCTTCCCACCCCCATTTGCGGGCTCTGGTGTAATAGTAATTCCGCCCCAAATTAAGTTTAAAGATTCAAAATTTCTTGCTATTACAACTTAACGGAGTATTCAATTGACAGAGAAAGAAATGTTTGAAAATTATTGTTCAAAGGTAAGGGAGAGCAGTCATGGATCTTGAATGACAAAGTATAAAGAGTTCTTTACCTTGTTTTAAAGCTAATTCTTTCATCAAAGTTACATTCTTCTTCTTCTTCTTCGTTCTTAATTATTAGTGTTGAAGGGGATCGAGATTTATCTGCCAGTGGGTTTGAACTTGAGGACTTTGTTCGAATTTTATCAACCATGAGCTTTTTTTTTTTTTTGCCGACTCGACCACGCCTCCGACACAATTAAGCGTTACGTGTCAACTGGTTATGCGCCATTGAGGCCATTGACTCCGATTTCGGCCTGCTTTTCTTTTTGGATTTGCTTCCATAGCCTTTGTCCAACCAAGAACAATCTACAAGGCAGCAGTTGTTTAATTTTGGAGTTGTCTCTCCTAGAAGAGTGGCTGTCCGCAGCTAACGAGCCTCATCTGCCCGAGGGTTCGAACTCGAGACTTTTCGGTTTAGCAACCATGAGCTTTACCGACTCGACCACGCCGAGTCAAAGTTACCTATTTCATGTGTTTTGTTGTTTTGTTTTTTTTTACTTTCTCGTACACATAGTTTAGAGGAAGCATTTTAATTGTGTAAACATATATTTCGACAGATTCGCCATTTTACACGTCCCTTCTTTAACATGGCGGCTACGGAACATAAAGTATGCATTGTAATCATGTAAGAAATATCAGTTTCAGTTGAAGGAAGTAGACGAAATTTCATATATTTGTATTAAATATTTTAAATTGCATGTGCAGTATGCTATAAACTTCAGAAAGATTTTCGGTAACAATATGTGGTACTTTACTGTATTTCCATGAGAATATTTTCAATCGAGTACTGTTTTGATTTGGTAGAAGAAATTTCACATATAAGTATAGTAGCTTATACTTGGATTATTTTCAACTTTTAAGTAACCTCCGAAAACCGGAAGTGGTATTTTACTCTATCTACGCTTACGTAAGTACCGCTCCTTTTAGGTGAACTAAATTTTAAACAAATGTATAAGATTTTATTATCTTTACTCTGAAACCATTTGTCCTGAGATCATTTGTCTGGGATATTTTGTCTGTGATCATTTGTCATGGAACCATTTATTTCTACATCAGATCTACCAAGCCTAGAAGTCAACATGCGTTACACATTGGTCGAACTAAAGAATATCACTATACTGATGAACATGAAGCTCAGTTTCATTGCATATCCTTAGTATTTTTTGTTTGACGAACTGACATAAAACGTTTTATCAATATATATATATATATATAATTCTTGCAACATCTATAAACACAACAAGAGACGTTAGGGAAGAAACTTTATTAAATTGTTTATTGTTTTAAGAGAATAAAATTTAAAATAAAGTATTGTCAACAATTGGATTTCAAATTAAATTTTAAACTTCCTGAAGATGATACATTACATTTTAAAACTTCCTAAAGATTGTAAATTACAATTGTAAGCTGTATAGACTGAAGACACAACAAAAATGTAGTTATACTGAACTCAAAAACACACAGTTAATGCTGTCTTTGAAGTTGACGGCATTCCATTTTTCCTGTTGAAACAGAAATTTAAAAAATCATGTAAATAAACCAAATTAAAATCTGCGTTTTATACATATGTCAATACTTTAAAAAACTTTAAGTGCTGTTAATTATTTTTATATAATCCCAATTAATTAATAATCACCATATCAAAGCATTCTTCTTCCATTATTTGTACGTATTTACAGTAAAATTTCTAATGAATGCGGCGTCAAAACGGCCATTGACAAAACGGCCCCCTTAGAAGCGACATAAGATCAACGTTAAATCAAACACGTCAACAAGGCCAGCGAAAATGGACCCCTTCATATAGGCTCCCTACAAATAGGCTCCCGTCATATGGGCTCTCGACAAAAGGGCTCCTGCCAATGAAGCTCCGGACAAATATGCTCCCGTCATTACGTATGCAGCAAAAAATGGCTCCCGTCATAACTATTCCCAAAAAATAGGCCCCCGTTGTTTAGGCTCACGACAAAAGAGCCCCAGTCAATACTTATTCCGTAGAGCTGAAGCCTCCCGACTCTTATCAAGTGATACCGACAAACAAACAAATTTACAAACTTGTCAAATAGCTGAGTTTGTAGAAGTATACAAATAATAGCATTTAGCATACAGTCAAAATAAATGCAGCATAGTTATAAGATTGTGTCAGAAAGAAAATTGGCAAATCACACATAGTATTTTATTTCGAATAGTTGAACTCAGTAACGTCACTAGGCGGGTTAATGTGCGTACTGGGTTACACTCTTTAGGGGGTGACACCAATTCAAAAAATCGTTAATGAGCTATCAGAACAATGTTTATTAAAACATTTTGAAATGGATGAAAAGATGGCTTTCGCGAAACAAAAAATGCTAAATTACAGGAGTCGGGGGGGGGGGTGTTGTCTCAGGAGCAGAGACGTAGCGACCCTTCCCGGGACAAACTTTCGGTTTGCCACCCTCCCCGTCAAACTTTCGATTTGCACCCCACCCCCCCCCCCCACTCCTCAAACTTTCGATGTGCACCCCCTCCTCGAACTTTCGATTTGTTTCTCAACCCATTTTGGCGCCCCCTAAGGTCGGCGCCCGGGGACATATGTCCCCCCCTCCCCCTCGCTACACCGCTGCTCAGAAGTCATACTGACTCGATCGCGGGATTCGGAACTCGGGGCACTTGGGTTATTATTATTTTGCGCTCTGATATTTTATTTAAAAAGACAAAAATACAGGGTGAGAAGAGCATTACAAAAGCGTTACAGTAATCATTCTACAAGTGAAACTTGCATGAACAAAACCGATTTAGAATGTAAACCAACTTGAACGAATAATGCCATTGCACATAACTATTGCAATACAAATAAAACAGAACCAATTGCATGTGTTGACGTTTTACTTAATTAAACTTACTTGCGAGAAGAGTGCCACGTTTTTAACCTTTGTTGCAACGTTTTCCTAGAATATATTAAAGGCAATGTAATAATGTGCATTTTTAAAAATAACAATCATGGCTTAAAATATATTACAGTAGTGTTAATGTAGGTAGTTAAATAATTATAACATAATTAATTCACTAATTAATTAATTACTTGTCACTTTAGCGGTAGCCTCCTGAGTGGTTGTCTCTTGGGTGGTAGTGGTTGTTTCTGTAAATTGGAGTAAGTCGAGTAAGTACCATTTCCGATTACAGAAAACCAGCTCAATAGATTTAATACTTGCAAATGATATTTTGTAAATCTAATTAAAACAGAACTCATGTTGTCATTTGTAATCATTCACATAGACAGAGAGACAGATAGGATTGCAAAATTAAGTTTTTCCGACACTCGAAGGTGTAAAATGTCGATAAATCAATAAAATCTAGATTTTGATTTTACGCACTATTTATATTCATGTTTCGCTAATGAGGCGAATAACTGCAAAAAGTGTCAAAATATCTGTTGATTATTCAATGCGAAACTTCCTCTATACTCAGTAAATGACAAAGTAAAAATGTGCGTATTCTATTTGGCGTACTAAAGTTAACATTACTTCAATATAAAAAAGGTAAATGCTATTATACTTGCTACTTCTATTAAATAGGCGTACATACACAAATATAAAAATTCTTAATTTGCCAAAGAATTCTTACGCATTTCGCAGCGAACAAATGCTTTTGTATTTTGGGTGGAGCTGACGTCGATGGCATTTCCTTGCAAGACTTGGGTTGTGCATGAGCCACTGTTGTATGCATATCCAATGCATTTTGGGTTGTTTGCACAATTTTGAAAACAGCCCTGCATCCATCGACCAAGAGAAAATGCAGATATGGATTAAAATTAGCTGTCAAAAACTATTACATGTGTGCATAGGGCAGCTTAAAATATAATCAGATACAGGCCATTAAAATTTAACTTACTTTACCCCCTTTTTAAAATATTCAAATTATTGAAATATTTTATCATTCGATTTAAGCTTCTTCTTCTTCGTTCTTAATTTTTAGTTTTGGAAGGGATCGAGCCTTATCTGCCAGAGGGTTTTGGTTTTTGAACTCAAGACTTTTTCGAATTTATCAACCATGTGGCTCCATCACAATTAAGTATACGTGTCAACTGGTTATGCGCCATTGTGGCCATTGACTCTGATTTCAGCCTGCTTTTCTTTTTGGATTTGCTTCCATAGCCTTTGTCCAACCAAGAACAAACTACAAGGCAGCAGTTGTTTGATTTTGGAGTTGTCTCTACTAAAAGAGTGGCTGTCCCCAGTTAACGAGCCTCATCTGCCCGAGGGTTCGAACTCGAGATTTTTCGGTTTTTACCGACTCGACCACACCGACCTCCTCGATTTAAGCAATGTTAAATCGTTTTATTATAATTTATGTTCTGTGTTTTTCGTGTTTTGTGTTTACTTATACGTTAAAACATTTGTTTTATCCTAACAAGATATTAAATTAAATATTAATTAACAAGATATACTTATAGGCAAATGAATTTCAAGCCATTTGGGAAAATTCTGCAGTAAATCTATTTTTCTATTACTAATTTTAAAGATTTTTTTCAGCACGGCAGAGATACATTAGACACTGGATTTAAAAAAAATATTTAAATTTAATTCAGATTGTATAAAATACAGCTTTAAAAGACATTACTTTAACTCAACTGAAAAAAAAAAATATATATAAATAAGCGTAGCATACACAAAGCAAACATAATCTCTTTTCGAAATAAAATAACTCCTAGTAAAAAGAAAATTGGCTTGTGCTTTTGTTAACCTACAAGGTGATAACTTACTGGAAAGATAATTTAGTGACAAGACTTACATAGTGATTGGTACTAATCGCGCTTGCCGGTTGGTAGTTTAGATACGCTGAACAGTGTGCTGGGAAAAAGAGACAACATTCTATACACAAATATTAAGGTATCTAAACACATCATTAAACGTGTAAACGAATATCTAAAGGTGCATAGGCACACAGACACAGGGCAAGTAAAAGAATTAGACACAGACTAAAGCAAAGGCATAGGCATTGGCATAGACACAGACTAAAGCAAAGGCATATGCATTGGCATAGACACAGACGCAAGAGTGTATGCATATGTGTAGGCACAGAGGTAGGTACAGAGGTAGGCACAGAGGTAGGCACAGAGGTAGACACAGAGATAGGCACAGGTGTAGGAACAGAGGTAGACACAGAGGTAGGCACATAGGTAGGATCAGACGTTGGCAATGACTTAGGCATTGTCATAAATGCAGGCGAGTATGCGTAGACGAAGCATAGACATAGTCCAGACATAGGCATAGGTTAAAACGTATGCACAGACGTTTGCATGGAAGTAGACCTGGGCATGGCGTAGCTATATTTTAAAGGTTAAATCATGACTTGATTTTTTTAAAATGTATAAGTTATATTTGCAGATCAAACTACATAATATATAGATAGCACTTAATATAATAATATCATTGCGTAATACGTACACGCATCATTAGCACAGATCACAAACCCTAATGACGCTTTCTCTATCGATGTATCAATCGCTGCTGACAATGTTGTGATGGTGCAGTTACCGTTGTAGTTATAGTAATAGCATTTGGTTGTTGCTACGCACGCCAGAAAACAATCCTAGAATGTTGGAATAAAAATAATACGTTTATCAACATATATATATATATATATATATATATATATATATATATATATATATATATATATATATATATATATATATATATATATATATATATATATATATACAATTGAAAAACAGTGTCATTGACCGACGATTAAAAATATGAGATTTTATGCCAGTTATAATTGGTGTACGAACAAAGAAATGTATGTTCATAATAGTATTTAAGTACATAAATACGATTGCTACTTTCATCAGTGGAGTAAGTTTATAAGAATGGAAGTCTATTGTAAGGTTATCATACTATATGGTGTTAACTAGCTGTATTGAGTAAATAGAGTTCTGTACACGTTTGGTATCCTGCGATGATGTAATTATACATTCAAACTAGTGCTATTCTTGTTTATGTTTATTTTATTTTTATTTTTTTCTCTTTTGTTTTAAAGTTTGTTTATTTATATTTAAGTTTGTTTTATTTAATCGAGTGCAATCCTTTAAAGATCTATTTTTTCTTGCTTTTTTTATTTATACGTTTTTTCTTTTTGTTTAAATTTTGTTTAAATTTTGTTTACATTTTGTTTAAATTTGATTAATATATAAGTTTGTGCCTTGATCTATTTCTCTTGCTTTTTATTTAGACCCGCCTTAATTAGCTTATTATTAGATTTGATCTATCCAGTAAACAGATCATTTCACTTTAGCGTTGGTTGATTTAGTTAAACCAGAGGAGAGATACATACATTTTGAGAGCTAACAGTCACGGCCTGGTTAGTAAATGGGCTGAGACTGTAGGCGACACAACCGTCTGAAACACAATGAAATGGTTGACCTAACCTACAACATGCTCAAAACATCTAAACAATATTTCACGTAAAACTCGGTCGTTTGTAAGCGTTTGCAAAATAAAATATATATAGAAAATAATGTATATACTGTTGCAAGTGGCCGCCTCTTCCCCTCCAAAAAAATCAAACGCCTCATGGGAGAAAAAAGTCCCTCACTCTCTCTGTCTCTTTCTCTCTCTCTCTCTCTCTGTCTCTCTCTCTCTCTCTCTCTCCACCCCATGCGAATGGCTATCTCTGTTTTTGTCAATGATCAGATCACCGAGTAAGTAATAGATATACGGGCACTTCCTGTGTGGATCAGCCGACTAACTCAATGATAATTGCTCCGTCTCTAAGCAGTTTGAATCTATAAATAGAATAACAAAAGGAAGGAAACGAAATTTTAAACTGATTTCCGCCATTAAAAAAATAACATGAAACCTACAGTTCACGACACATCGCATAGGAATTTAAAATAAATATTAGGCCTATAGGTTTAATACATATTGCATAGAATATAGAAATTTAGATCTAGTGTTCTGGTTAGTAGTTATTTCATGTTTATTAGAATATAGTCTAGAATCTAATCATACGGCTGCATAAAAAGAAAGTTTAAAGGAAATAGAATAGGAATCTAGAGAAGCGGAGGTAAGAAGGTTAAATTAGTAATTTACATGATTTTTATTGTATTTGTAGTTTCACTGTTTGTTAGGCCCAATTATTAAATCTTTAGATCAGAGGTCCAGCTTGATCATGTGTGGTATCTATTGTGGTGCATTGGAATGAAAAGCCCACATACTTAAATATAGAATCTAGTAGGCCTATACTATAACTGTACTGCCCTATACTTTAAATTTGTTGCCACAAGAAAAAAGCATATTTACTATTAGGCCTATTAGTTATAATTTAATTAAATTGAAATATTTGATTATCTTTATAGTTTATAGTGAATGCATGCTAATGAGCATTATTCAAGCTGCTGTTATATTTAGGCTCATAGGCCTATATACTCTATAGCTTAGGCTATATACTATAGACTATATATTATATACCAATATTGTGCATAAAACTTAAAGCATGTAAGCATACACAATAATAATTATCATTAGACCTATAGTAACTTAGACTCGTACTATTTAGTACTTCTTTAATAGTACCTTTAAACTATTAGGCATAATTAAATAATGATTAATGATTTCAGTGTTTTCCGCACTCGAGAGGATAGAGGTTGCAGGGAATTTAGAGACTAATCTTTGCCAACATACTGGATTTCCGGTGATGACAATAGGAGCAAATAGTATGCGGCTCAGTTAATACTAAAAAAAATTGATTTTACTAATTAGTGGTAAGCTCTTTTTTAAAATAATATATTATAACATGGTATTGCAAAGGTTCAGGTTGTCCAATAAATGGTAATTAGAGTCAGGTTTAGAACTATAGTTTAATGCTTGGTTAGTAATTTGCATCAAGTTGGGAAAGACATAGAAATGGAAATACATAGAATGTAATGTGTTCATTCGCAAACGTTACTATTTAAATTTTTCTAGGGCTGCTATTTATTTCTGAATAATAAAATCACTATACTTATCCAATATATTATGTTTAAATAAAGTGAGTTTAGATCAGTCGAGTAAATAAATTTAATAGCAAGACATAGCTAAAATTTACAATGAATATATATATATATATATATATATATATATATATATATATATATATATATATATATATATATATATATATATATATATATATATATATATAATTTGATTGCTATTTTATAAAAGTATGTAAATCACAGACCAAACATTACTTTGTATTGTGTCTACAACTTAACGAAAAATGCTACTACTTTGATGGATTGCACTAAATAGGGGTTAGCTTTAATTTAATAATTTGTGAGATATTCTTGCTAATCTATGTGTAAATTGCTTTTCAGGACTATGAGTGTGTGTTTGGCCATCCAGATTTCATAACTACAACTGATGTTCAATTACAAGGGATATTAATCAGTCTCCGTGGACTATACACTGTGCCTAGTTTCATCCTCAGGTAACTGTACTATAGACATAACCCATTTTTTAGAGTAATTATTATAGCAAGAGATAGCATTGTATGTTATAATAAATATAATGGATTTTAATCCAAAATATTTTATTAATTATTGTCTTTTTTTAAATTCTAATAAATCAGTGAGTGTACAACATAGAGGGTATTATATTTGAATGATAATTGAAACACATATTGTTATAGAGCTCAAAAACTATGTACTTATCTAATATAATTAATATACTGAAACAGTTTTATTGAAGCATATTATTTCATATTTTACCACACAGAGACTGATGTGTAAGCTTAAAGTAAAGACATCAAATCAAAGTATCAGCCATCAAGAGGGTAAATATTGATAGTCTACTTCATTAATCTTCAATATGAATGAACACAATTTTAAATCTATAATCTTTGCTGATAATGTTTGTTTCTTGTTATTCATCATGTTCAGTGCTTTATCTTTTCAAAGTAATTAGTTATAGTAAAGAAATATTAGAGATAGTAATATAAATTTGTAATTTATTTTTCTTGCAAGTTCCACAAAAGAAAGTATCAAAATATTTTGCCTTTATTTCATTTACAGAAAAACATTCAAAATCATATTGTGATACACAAGTCAAGCAAGTCTGACCAGCATTTTGATACAGGCCAAGAAAAAGCTGGATACTTGATTGGAAGGGTCGCACAAAAAACATGGGTTATCACTAGGGAAACAAGCTCGCAATACAGTTCACTGTTAGGACAGCAAGCCAAATACTTCTAAACTTATTTGAATCATTTTTGCTGTTTATTATAATTCATCCAATTGTCTTATTAAATATATAAATTTATATATATACACAATTCCTAATATAGAATTTCTAAAAATGTTTTATTATAATATTTAAAAATGAAACAAACATGTTCCCAGAACACAGCCACATAATGTCAACATGATCCCAGAACACAGCCACATAATGTCAACATGTTCCCAGAACACGGCCACATAATGTCAACATGTTCCCAGCACACAGCCACTTAATGTCAACATGTTCCCAGAACACACAAAATGGCAACATGTTCCCAGAACACACAAAATGGCAACATGTTCCCAGAACACAGCCAAATAATGTCAACATGTTCCATGAACTCACAAAATGGCAACATGTTCCCAGAACACACAAAATGTCATTATGTGCCCAGAACACACAAAATGGCAACATGTTCCCAGAACACACAAAATGGCAACATGTGCCGAGAACACAAAAAATGACAACATGTGCCGAGAACAATGCCCCTTACAGATGACATGTTCCCAGAACACAGCCAGCAGTTGGTCTGCCATAAAAAGTTAACAATACTTTACTTTTTCCTTAACAATTTTACAAGCAGGTAATAAAGCCATAAATCTTTACTGTGGATATAGCCAATAAATAGGGTAACCTTCACTATATGCAATTTGTAGTTTTCAATGCCTGTCCCATGCATATTATTTAGCCTATTGTTTTGGGTCTTGCTTCAGCTACTCAATAAATTATATAGGCATGAGAATTTTCATTTTAATCTGCAAAAGCTACATTCTGTACATTATTATTTTCAAACTACATCATACATTTTTCTCTTCTCTGATAAAAAATATTCCTCATATTGTTTGTGTCAAGTATTTTATTTTTATCTATGCAATGCTATATTCTTATTTTATAATAATTACTTTTATACAAATTCTTTTGAAAACTGTTCTTTATTGATTTGTATCATTTTCTTTATTTCTGAAAAATAAAACTTTGTTTGGGAATCCTTTTTTTGTTTCTGTACAAATTAATAAACATAAATACCTACTAGGCTTAATATCCAGCAACATTAAACAATTAAGTAGGGCCTATTGTTAGTAATGGTAAATTATATACTAATTAATGTGATTTCAACTGTGTCAATGTTGCTACCAACTCAAATAATTAAAACTGAAGCCATTTACTATGAAGTAAAACTTGGGTGTAATCCAAATCCACCCAGTTGCCGGGGGCAAGGTACCAAACATGATGTCCAGTAGAGGGTTAAGAAAGTATCATTATTAAATCACTATTAAACCCCTCCTCGCCTACGTCATTGCTTGTATGCATATGGACGTTATCGGAATTTACTGTATTGCTTATAAGTCGAAAATGCGAAAAAGACACGTTTAACATTACTAGTTTGAAGAATAACATTCATGTTAGCCGAAACAGGTGTATTCTAAAGTTGTTTAAATTCATTTTATTGTTCATTACGATTATGATGTCGTAAAATATAGGCCTATTTAAAAAAAGCATAACTAAAAAGTGTTTAAACCCATTTTCTTCTTAGAAAAGCCGCACATGCATGATATCATTAACATTACGGCAAATCAAACCCTTGAAGAAGCCCCAATCAACCATTCAATTATTACGATGGGCAACAAATAAAAAGCCCGCATCAAGGTACAGTCCTTATGCTATCGACATTAGCTCAACACCGGCAACTAACGTGTCCCAAAACCAAGAATTGAAATCTTGACCCATTATTCTGATTAATTAGTGGTTAAACATCTTTAGGCATCTGAAAACGTTAGTTTTTAATCTAGTGTACTCAAAAAGGAACAACATAAAGCTTTATGCCGCCTTAAAAACCCAATCCCATGTTACGCAAGGCGTCGATAAAGAAAGAATAAGGCTTTGAGTCAGAACAGGCAAGGGCTTAGATAACTGCAAAATACCTAATCTGTAGACCTCACAAGTCTAGACGATATATTTGTGCCTCTGTTTTTAGACTTTCAGAACAAATGCATGTGATGTGGTCAGTAGGTACATAAAAGAGAAAAGTAGTTTTAATCTAGAGACTTCAAACATTTCTGAAGGACCGAATTTGAACTTGTAGGCCGTGGTGTCGATGCCAAAGTTTAGCGTCGTCCGCAAAGATAAGCTATCGTTATATCATCTCTATGCCCATATTGTGACAGATATTTACAAATTTGTCTAATATAGGACAGAATACATAGCTACTCAACAGAGATAAGCGCAATCACTTGTCCACGACTTAAGAAACCACTGTACTGCAAAACCCACCTAAATGGAAAATGTCTTAGATGTGTGTTTTAATACAAATGTGTACCTCGTCGCGAGTTAGGACCTGTAGGTAGTCTGTTACTACTCTATATCTAAAAACAATAAAAAGATAACGTGAATTTTATTTGTTCAATTTCTTGGTTAACTGAATTTGTTGCATCTTGTTCAATTTTGTTAATATTGATTAACCTAAAGGGTTCAAATGTAACAAAGAAAATTGTGACTAAGTTTCCGGGTGCGGGTATGCGGACACTAGTTAAAGTAGGCCCTATATATCTATTTATATTTATAGAAATAAAAGTATGTTTATCTGTTTGTCCTATATGAATTACTACATCTTTTTCTTTTTCATCGGATCGCCATAAACTTTGTGAACAGAGTTTTTTCCAGGAATCTATTCGGAGGGGGGGGGGGGGGGGGGAAAGCAGAGCCCCCCCCCCCCCCTCACCCCCCGAAGAAAGTCTATCGACCCCCCCCCCCCCCACCCCCGAACGAAACGGAATTTATATAGAAAAAAATACTTTTAACAGTGTCCGCACGCCCCCCCCCCGGAAAGATTTCGCCAGGGCGGCACCCTAGCAGGAAGCAGAAGCGTAGCAACCTATTCCGGCAGCCGGGGCGAACTATCAATTATGTGCCAACCCTATTCAAACGCTGGCAAAAAGGCGCCTATCCCTACATACACTCCCCTATATAAAATAATTGAGGATATCAGCCATGTGTAAATCTGTTTTCTTAAATTTTACTGAAGAATGAGAATTTTTTAAAAAATTGTCTACCCATTTTGGCGCCCCATTCGATCTGGGGTCTCTGACAGGAAGCAATGCAATTTTTCTCCATAAAAATAAAAGCCAGATGCAATTTGACACTGTTCGTACGAGAGTCATAAAATTTTGGGTAGTTGGTGAAAAGGGTTTCGAGAAAGAAAAAAATTCTTAAGTGTGGCACCCTGGGAGGGTTCGATTTTTCTAATTATACGATTATGAGCTCAGAATCCAGAGGGGAATCCAGAGGGGCTATCTCATCAATTGCGGTCATAGGTAATACTAGATTCAGCAGAGGCGCAGCGAGGGGGGCGGGGGGTACATATGTCCCCGGGCGCCAACCCTAGGGGCGCCAAAATGGTTGGAAAAATTTAAAAGCTCATTTTAGCTATAGTTTTGCATTATAAATATTTAAAAAATACGGGGAGGGGGCGCCAAATTGAAAGTTTGTCTCCGGCGGGAGGGGGGGGGGGCGCCAAATTGAAAATGTGTCCCCAGGCGCCAGGAATGGTGCTACGCCTCTGAGATTCAGTGATAAAACTACACCAGGTTCATCCGACAGCTCCCCGGCGGTTGAGTGGCCCAGAGCGGCCAAGACCCATCTCGGGCGACACTACGGTTTAGATGGGCTACTATAAATGTTCACTAAGTAGAATAATGAGCGCCCGCCGGCGCCCTGGCAGTTGGCGACAGCGAGCGCCCCGGGCTCTACAGAGAGTGCCTCCTTAAAAAGCACCCTACAATAGGGACACGGTGGCACACGACATTTTATAATTAAACCGAATTAGGGGCGCCCCTGCGGAAATATAACCAGTGGCTCCCTGGAGCGCCAAGGGACGCGTCTCTAACACATGGGCGGTCGCCAATGTGTGTTCTACCTCACTATTACAGAGGTTGATTAACGTACACTCAAGGCTTTCATACAGTGAGCCTTGGTGCGTCTAGGCGGCAGTGTGGACAAACCCGCGCCCCAAAAACGAATATGTGGGTTTATTTGTTTAAGCATTATCAAAGATTTCATTCGTTTGTCATTCAAATTTGAGAAGTTAATGCTAATACCCCTGTGGTGGTTTCTACGAAAAAAAAAATTCGATTTGGTGGCGCCCTGGCAGGGTTCCATTTAACTCCCCGGGTTTTCCCGTGAGTACTATGGTACTTTTGTTCGTTTTAATAATTGCGAAACGCTATGAATATGATGGGCTACTATAATCGCTCACTATACCGAGTGAGGCGCCTTCCTACCTACGCCCACCTACCTACATACCTAACTCCCTGCCCACGTACCTACCTATCTACTAACCTGCCTGCGCTGCTGCCTGCCTACCTACTTTCCTACCTACCGTTATTCCTGCCCAACTGCTTTCCTTCCACCCCGCCTGTCTACACACCTCACATCCTACTTACACACACACACATATCTTCGTATGTATATATGTATGTGTTAGTGTGCTCTAGGACTATGTATTTTTACATTTTTGTTGTTACGTAGAACTATTCAGTATAAAGGAGTTTCCTTTTTTTTTTTTGACGTTGTAACTGCCGCTAAAATATTCTTTTTTGTATGTGTGCATAAAATAGTGTAGGTTTATTAAGAAAAGTAAATTTTAGTATGTATTTAAGTGTATATAATCATTTTCGTCAAGCCAATGTGTTCATAATCTTAAATTTAAAAACCCATGAAACTCGATAGCCAAAGATTTAGAATGAGAATAATTGCTATTTAACCAGTAACACCTATTCTAATTATTGTAATAATATTTTTTTAAAATAAATATACACAGAGATAGATTGTTTTCTTATATAATTTATTTAAAAAGTCAACTGTATTTCATAACGAAAATTAACACAAAATACATTCGAATAGAAACTGTCAAGGGAGACTACTCTAATATTTGTAGGAATAATAGTTTTTATTTAGAGTTTTTTTTATTATTAGAAGAAAAGTTAATCATGTAGGTTCTATAAAAGATTACCTTGCATTAAAAAAAAAGATATTCGATAGGTTTAGAATGAGAAATAGTCAAAATTATTTATTATATTCATTAGTTGATTTTTTTAATAATATAGTACAAAAACTTGTTTTAATTATTTTTTAAAAATCTTATTTTAATTAATAAATTATAAATGAAGATCGAGGATCTATATTTTTTTAAAAATAGTTTAACTGTCCCTAAACAATTGTATAAATCGCTGAGAAATTAAGAATTAATAATTACGTTTAACGCTTTATTAATTAAACGAGTTGAATTATTTCCGTTTTGATAAACTCTCTCTCTCTTTAAAACTACTAACGCTTTATCATTGAGTTTCTTAAGAGAAAAATACAGGAGAGCGGTAGTTATCATTGACTCTGTCATTGATAATTTCATTGAGTCTTTCATAGAAAATAGTGTTTGATCGGCTGCTCTCTCTCTCTCTCTCTCTCTCTCTCTCTCTCTCTCTCTCTCTCTCTCTCTCTATATATATATATATATATATATATATATATATATATATATATGTTGGGTTTAATATTTCTATTTGCACATTTATGTTACTTACCTTGTGCCCAGCATATGCCGAAAAACAACATCATTACAGTTATTAGGGTAATTGCGATTGTTGCCATGTTTACAGAGATTGATGAATTTTTTCCTTCGGAATTTAATATATTAATATCAATTACATTTAGTAATACAATTCTACAACGCTTTTCAATACCCCCCCCCCCCCAAACTCACACACAAAACACAAATATACACTTCGAAAATTCAATTCTTTGGTTGAAGTCTTTACATTTTTAAAACAAAATCGAATTGTTTAAAAACATAACAAAGCGCTACTTTCATTCTAAATTGGTGTAAACATCAACATTGGTTGTTTAAACATTTTCAAGGCAATAGTCCTAGAACATATTTAAACAATAAATAATAATTACATGTTTTCAAGGCAATAATCTTTGAAAATATTTAAACAATAAATAATAATTTAAAAAAACAATAAAAATAAAACAACAATAAAACAATACAAATATTTAAACGTCCCGTCATAAGTCGCAATCGGGCAAACGTCCAGTTGGGCGTTTGTCGCAGTCGGGCAAACGTCCATTCAAGAATACGGCCTTCGAACAAATGGCCTTCGGACAAATGGCCTTCGAACAAATGGCCTTCGGACTAACGGCGTTCGGGCCAGTGTCTTTTGAGCATACCCCCTACTACCAAATATAGAGATATATTGAAGTTTGTTTTCAGGACAACTACTAAAGTACAAAAATCAACATGCTGGAAGATAAATGTTCGGGCTGAAACTAACATAAATTCGGTCTTGTAGCGACAATTTAAAAAAAAATTAAAACAAACATTTACTCGCCTGAGTGAAAGCAATGTCTCAAATTTGTGCAGCCAAAAGAAGCGCAGAAGTTCAGATCCACCATGTTTTATAAGCTGTGTGAAAACAAAGTAGCCAATCAAAAACTTTCCCTAAGATAATGTTATTGCAATAAAAAAATCATAGGCGTGGCGAATTTTTAAAAATTGTTAGTCAGGGACTAGAAAAACGATTCGCACTAAAAGAACTCAAACAATATGTATAAAGTAATATTTCCGGTTACCGGAAATCACTTAAAGTATGAAATATGTAAGACAATAAGATATAATACATTTTTATAAAACCTCGTCCACTTAAGTGGGACGGCATTCAAGTGCTCGTTATTTAAATGACCATAAGAAAGTACCAATTCCTGTAATCGGAGGTAACTCAAAAATGCGAAGTGATTCAAGAATAAGATCAGTGTTTCTTCCAGACTTTTTTCTCCAGGGGGGGGGGGGGGGGGGCACTTGAAAATTTCGGGGGGGGGGGGGGCGGCGGTAAACTTTCTTCGGGGGGGAGGGCGGACACTGTTAAAAGTATATATTTTCTATATAGATTATATAAATTTCATTTCGTTCGGGGGGGTGGTAAACATTTTTGCCTGGAAGAAACTCTGAATAAGATCTTATTCTTAAAGATATAATTTCGACTATCCGTCTTAAAGTGTACTTAAGTTATAGTGTTCCCACGGAAATAGACAACTTACCAATTTGGGTTACCGGAAATTTTTCAAAATATGTTAAAAGCCTGTGAATTGTAATCTTTTTTTATAAATAATTTCATTCACCTAAATTAAACGGTGCTTAAATTATCTGCTTTCGAAAATTACTCCAAAATTGATAGAAATACTAAGCGTGTTCACAGAAAGACAGACAGACAGACATACATACAGACAAAACTGAGTTTTTCTTACTCAGTAAAAAATGTGAAACGTGGAGATTTGTAAAAAAAAATCGATTAGTATATAAAATTTCAAAACATCTTGTATACATCCTACACTATAAAAGTACAAAAGTAGACACCTATGCATAACTTTGTAAAACTAGAACGATTGACTTAGGCCCGCTATCCTCACGAGCGAGCCAGCTAGGTTTTCAATGTGATCATACCACTAAACATATTGATCCATAGATGAAAAATATCAGGGAGTGGTCCATTGGAGGTGACGTCACACTCTTGGGTTGGGGGCTTAGGAAGGTGACACGTCACATTATTATCTCTTAAAAATATCTATAAGACTCAACTTTAGAGGTTGTATCGCATTTTGATTTTAGATTGTACAGTATAGTAATGAGTAAATCGACGGCAGGCGAAAGTAAAAGGGGTGGGTAGAATATGTTTTTGATTGACAGATGATTGGACGGCTGGACGGACGGATGGACGTATACACGGATGGACGGATAGATGGATGGATGGATGAATGTATGGATGGACGTATACACGGATGGACGGATAGAAGTATAGACGGATGGGCGGATAGACGGATAACGGATAGACGGATAGACGGATAGACGGATAGACGGATAGACGGATAGACGGATAGACGGATAGACGGATAGGCGGATGGATGTATGGACGGATAGACGGATAGGCGGATGGGCGGATTTAAGGATGGACGGATGGGCGGATGGACAGTTGGACTGATGGACGGACGAGTGGATTCAGGAATAGATAGATAATTGAGTTCGTGGTTAGATTGTTGTATATGTTGTTGGGTGTGGAGTGTATGGATGAAAAATGGTTGTGATGGTCGGTTGGACGGATAGACAGTTGGACGGATGGAGGGATTGACGGATGAACGGATTGATGGATTGACGGAAGGATTGACGGAAGGATGTATTGACATATGGACGATTTAGACTGACGGATGGACGGATGAACGGTTAGACCGATGGACGGATTGACGGAAGGACAGATGAAAAATGGTTGTGACTGTCGGTTGCACACATTGACCAAAACTGCACCACAACGCAAACTTAAACTTGCTGTTTTTTAAGATAATTTCGTATATCTTTTAAATCTTATTTGTAGATTCTGATTAAATTAATGAATAAAAAATATGTCTTCATTAATGATGATAAAACATAATTAATTTGAGACTTAGTCTTTATAGCCAAACTTAATGCGTATTTAGACAAAGTAAAACACATTTAGCATTGGCCTACATAGATATAGTACACCACATAGTCACTGTTATAAAAATACACACGCCTACACGAAGAAAAAGAATACCACATCTAATACGATTAGTACTTTAACAATCGAAAAAACATGCCGCTGTTTACAATCATAAAGATGTTTCTTACCTAAAGCTGATGTCCAAATAATGTTTTTCTTTGTCTTTGAAAACAATCATTTTATGATATTAATCTCAAACATTAAAAAGTCAGCCATGAATCGAAACGTTTTTATCGAAATGTCGTTTGGTTAGCGTGGGTGTACAATGGTAGAACTCTCGTTTGTGACGTGTTATCTGTGTATCTGGCTGGACACAGCTCTGACCACACGATTCATCTAAATTAATGAACAGATAAGAAAGGATAACTTTATTAAAATCATTTTTAACATAGTTTGGTCATTTCTTTCATTGCATTTTACGCGTTAATCAATTTGTTTTTACTTGGTTCTTCGTATTTTTTCCGTCGTTGGTCGAAGCATGCTAAATAATTTTTTTTATATCTGACTGAGCATTGGTTTAAACTTGATAAGTGGGTCAAGTTTTGATGACACTTACGGTTACCGAAATTGCTGAAAAGCTTATTTAAGTCTACTGAGAAGTTTCTTAAGCCACCGGAATTTTAGAAACTAGAAAAAGAGTAAAGTTTTAGTACAGGATATCGGAATTCACTCAAAAACTACAAAAAAAAATTTCATATAGGTTGTTACACATTTGTATATGAAATTTCCTAACTCAAACAGTATGCACGTTTCCTTTCTTCCTTGGAAATAAAGTAAAATAACTATTCCGTTTACCATGAATCGCTCAAAAGTAAAAAGAGATTTCGTTTTACAATCAATTACTTATGTTTAAAATGTCATAAGTATATAGCTGAAAGAATACTAATATTATCGGGTTTCGATAAATCGGAAATTGAGTAAGTACCACTTTAGAAATTATGAAATTGAGTCAAACGAAACGAAACGAAACATATAAAGAAGTATCTTCCCAAAACGTACAAGAAAAAGAATGACATCATTGTATGTTAAATAAAAAATTGAAATAAAAATTTGAATGCCGATTTATGTATTCAAATAAAATCTTTTTCTTTCTTAAATTATTTCATTTTTTAAAAGGTGGTTTTTAACAAAGTTTTAAAAATTATTTCTTTTTATAAATGTAATCTTCTACATTTATTCCATTACATTTTTCAAGATTTTAAACAAAAAGCCGTCGCAATGTAAAATAAACTTCTCAGTATTTCTTTTACAGATTTAGTTTTTTTTATTATTCTGCACATTACGATGTGTGTATCAATTATATAGTTTTAAAAACCCAAAAGACAAACGCAACACGCAGAAACATGGCTTTTAGATGAATCATGTTAACTTTGATTTTATTGATTGAATTTAAGTTTATTTTATGGCTGTGTTTTGTAGTCTGTTGACGTTAGACCAACTTCAGTTGTGTTTCGATTACTTTTTTTTATTACCTTTTACTTATTATGTATTATTTATTATATTCTTCTTGTTTACTTAAACTTTTTTACTGTATGTTTTTCTTAAAAAAACAGTTTCATATTTTTAAAGGATTTGCTATTTTCATTTTATAAATGTGCAATACATTTTGATAATACTATTGAAATAATACCATAATGGATATTTCTCATTGTCGTTTAGTGGGGGTTGTTTAGTTTAACATTATGGTTAGTTTTGTACTAATGCTAAACTCAAGAACAATAGATTACATGATTTCCTTTTCATATCTGGAAAATAAACATTAAACGGAGGAATATAAATAAATTCATGTTTTTTTTTTAAATGCTACTCATAGGACTGCATGGTCAAACGGTAGAGCATACGACTGTTAACCTGTAAGTCTCGAGTTCATTGCCGGGTACAAACAGAACGATCTTTAGTCCACCCAGCTCTGTTTGGTGACCAGACTAACCTTAGTTAAAGTAAAGGCAGCTGGGCATATTGCTGACCGCACTATCTCTAAATATGCCGAGGTCAAGAATCACATGGACTCTATCTGCTCGGTGGATCTTTAGCTCTGAAAGCGAAATTTACTTTTTTTTTAAAAATAAAGTAGCATGTTTAATATTATTGTACGCTTTACATTTTACAAATTGTAGTTTTTAACACTAGTCTTGTAGGACTCAGCAAAGTCATACAGTCACGATTCCGGACAGAGATCCAAACTCGAGACCTTTAGGGATAGAAGTCGAGCGCTTCAACAATCGACCCCGTAGTATCTATCTTTATGCACAAGTGAAAATGTTTAATTTTTCTAAACTATCGCTTTGTTTCACCAAAGAAAAATAACACATGTCGCCTAATCGATGTGTTATTGGGAAATGCGACCTTCGTCTCCCAATCGACTCATCATTTGACCACTTAATACAGATTATGCACGGATGGTTTGAAGGAAATCAATGTATGGTAAATTTAAAATACGCATTTCCTTTTGTTTTTGCGATACAATGAACAATACCGTACTGTTCTTGTTGGAAATAAGCACCGAAAAAAGTTTTTAAAGATCTTTTTTTAAACTATTATAACAGCGGTTAATTAGCAATTGATTGATTGATTTGTGATATAGAAATGTGCCACATGATCAGTTAAAATTATCAAAAAATTCTGCCTAGTATTTCACTCTAATTATAAGGGAAAACAAAAAACGGTAAAACTTGTATATTATCGACCCTCATCATATTTTCCAATTCGTGCCCAAGACACAAGGAGCAGATAAAGTAGAGTTCTGATGTTTGAGGGACCTCGACGTATGAAGGGATAGTGTTGTCAGCGCTAAGTTAAGCCGTCTTTACTTTACCTAACGTGCGTCAAGTACCCATCAGAGCTGGGTGGACTCAGAGAGTTAGCATTCAAATCCTCTACCGTTCGACCAGTTTCATGTAAAACATGGTTAGGACGATTTCAGTTTGGAATTAGGTTAGGGTTTACTTAAACTAATTTAATAAAAAAAGCTTAATAGCGATAATATGTAGGTCTACCTGCTTTTAAATACAATAATATAATTAAAAAATTAGTTCATTAATTCAATAAAAGAAAAATAATAAATAAATAAATAAATAAATAAATAAATAAATAAATAAATAAATAAATAAATAAATAAATAAATAAATAAATATATATATATATATATATATATATATATATATACGTATATATGTATATACGTATATTTATATGATATATACATAATATAAGTAAATATATATATATATATATATATATATATATATATATATATATATATATATATATATATATATAAACTGATTATGTTAGCTCTATCAAATAATAGTAGAGGGACGTAACTGTATCAGAACTTTGTATTTAGATTTTGTTCGATTGAGGTTCTTATTGATCCGCTTTTTTGGGGGTACTGTTTGGACAAAAGGGACGGAGTGGTCGAGCGGTAGTGAGCTGGACTCTAACCCGTAAGTTTCGAGTTCGAATCCGTGTTCAGGAGCCCACCCAACTCTGATGGGTACCTAACTCACGTTAAGGAAAGTAAAGGCGGCTGGGCATAGTGCTGACCACACTATCTTTTCATATGCCGAGGTCACATAAACAAGTGAACTCTACTTCACTTGCCCAATCGACTGTAACGTTTAAAAATTGCACTTTTGTTACTTGGTTTGACACTTGGTGAGGTTCACTGTGACTCATAGTGGTTGATCATCACGAACTAACCCACTGAGTGTTACACCCAATATAGTGAAAGTAACAGCGTTGGACACAAAATGTGCAGGAATATTTACAGAATGTTTAGATTTTTTTCATTTATAGGCCCCTTATTCTCGTTAAATTTTTTTTTTTGTTATTTTTATTTTTAACAGCTTGTAATCATAAGGTTTTAAATGTGTTTTATTTAAACAACAAATTTAAAACTATTATGACATTTGAAAGCAAAAATCAACCACGGTGGTTCTTTAAAATATGTTCGAGTTATAAAGATATATTAAAGTGTGGCTCAGAAGTTTATAAGGGAGAAAATGTAAAAGAAAGGAAACTTTCTTGAAATATTTTTTCTAGGAATAAAAAATGCATCGCAAACGTTTTAATGACAAGGAGAGAATCAATTATTTTTTAAAATATGCAATAATGAACTATTATTTAAATAACTTAAAATAAAAGCGTAGCTAGTTTTTTAAATTTCTAGTAAAGGTATTCAACAGTTTAAATCACTTTAAAAAACAAAACCCAAATTTCTGGTAGATGAATATTTGTTTTGAAATTTTAAAATTTGGTATTGTGAATTACCATTATAATTAATTCTAGCTAGCTTTACAAAGGTACAAAAAATTGGAAATAAATATTTTTAGAGTGATAATTATTCCTAAAACAAGTCAGCTGACTCTATTAGAGTTAGTAAAAGATCCTTATATGGAATAGTTTTTTAACCTTATTTTTTTTAAAAAGATAGCCGCCCTTGCCATCGCAACCAAATGTTAAGAAGTTCCTGATACATGCAAATATTTTCTCTTAAGTA